TATCTCTGCAATATTGTTGCAACATTTCGGTGCTGTATGGGTAGATATGTGACGTAAGAATTCTTTACATGCAGTTTCTCGCTTCTGACGTCATAAAACCAATATGGCCGCAGCGAGAGGCCAGGAGCCTTAAGTGTTTAAAAATGCTTGTATATTACACAGAATTTGCACAGAGAAAAATTCCTTTAGATTTAATATTTTTACTTGTTTAGCTTTGAGTTGTTTCACTAAAATATTATATTTTTATTATAAAATATTATATTATCATTCTTAAAATATTATATTTTCATTTTTAAAAATAAAGATTTCGTTGAAGAAAACCATGTTATTTAATAAAGAAACATTATTTGAAATATTTTCCAAAAGTTTTTTAAGATTTAATAATTCGAATTTTTGATTTGGAGATTTCCTTGGATTTGTTTCAAATTATTTTTTTATTTAGATTAACCTTATAATATCCCATTAAAAATTTAAAAGCAATCATAGAGAATTACTGATTCATTAATATACATTATGGCTGCGTTTCAAAATTTATTGCTAGCGCTGAAAAGTTATAGTTCATATTACATACGGTTATATTTCATATTACATATATTATATACGGAAAAAAAGATTTGTTAATATATGGACAACTAAAAATATTAACTGTAGGAGCAAATTTTCTTGCTTTTATAAAAGTTATTTAGTTGTGATAGCTAAAAGATTTACTAATATATGTATTAGCAAATATTCCTAGCAAACAGAATAATATAACAGTTATATTATATCGTCGTAATATAACGAAATGTAACGTGCAATATAACATGTTAGTTACATTAATATACAAGTTAGTTGTAATTTCCCACTCGAAAGAAATTGCATCTATATCACAGAAATTAACGTGTTAATACATTATATTAATATATATAAATATATATATAATAATTATATATTATATATAATTATAAATAAAATCTTTATCTTTATCTTCTAATCTAAGATGAATTTAGAGATTTCCACCTTATTTCCTCCTTAGATCATCTACGGCAAATACTGTTAATAGGAGAAATGGGATAATTTATATTTTGATTATACAACATTTAGCAATTTATTTAAATAAATAATTAATTTAGAATTGTTGCTTATAAATGTTAATTATATAACATCAGCAATTTATATAACTGTTAATTGTTACTTATACTTTCTGTTATTTATATAACTGTTATTTATATAACTTTATTGTAACTAATATAACGGTCACGTAACACATTACATTTATGTTATAGTTGCAATTATGAGTAAAAAATTATAATTAACATATACGTTATATGTGACGTACATGTTATATTACATGTTATATCAACCAATTTATTTATATTTATTTCATTAGCTTACAGCCCAGAAGTAGGAACTTGGTTTACAATATTATATCTTAACTTACACATCCTCCCCACGCATATATCCATCGTCACTCGCCTCTATCTAACTCTTCTAACTCTAACTATTCTAATTCTATCATTGTTTATTGTATCTTTTCACCCTTTGTACTTTTCCCCTTTTTATCCTTTTTCCATCTTTTCTCTCTTATATTACATGTTATATTTCGTTACATTAAGACTAGCTAATATAATCATAATTGCTGAGTGCTTATATTTTTGTGTGCGTCAAGTAATTAAGTTTTAAGCAAACTGGTTAAATTTTAGTTGGGATGATCGTTTTCAAGTTTCTTAAATTATTTAGCTGAGATTTAAATCTTTTGTAGTTAGAGATTTAAGTATTTTGAAATTTAAAGTCTGTTTTGCCGAGACTCCACTTTCTTTATGCATAATGAAGTTTTAACATGCACCACTAGATGGCACCAAGCAGTCCGTTAGTTGTCTTTGAACAGGTTTAAACAAGTTTTTGAGTAAGTTTTTTGAAATCAGTTTATTTTTTCATAAAAAATAGTTACAAAATGTTCATTACGAGTCGATATCATTTTTACTGGCAAGTTAAAATCGTAATATTTACGACTCAATGACAGGACAGACTGATTTTTTAATTTTTAAGTAGGTCAACGTATTAAATGTCAGAAGACTCTTTACTTTCAAATAGTATAGCTTATTTAAACAAAAAATCTTTATTAACAAATATTAATAAAAGCGAATACAACTTTATTCTCCCAAAGAAATTCAATTACGCACTAATATTTGCGTGCAGTTTGTATTTGACTTATCTCATAATTGTCATTTTCAAGTAATACGAGGCTTAACCGCAGATTAAAGGGATCATTTTTAAGTGGTGTGATTCAATAATGTATCAGCATTTTGTATTTTTTACCAATGTGACGGAACAGTTAGTGAGATAGACATTTATCTCTATTTACATATACGAAATGAGTCTCCTTGAGCTGACGATGAATCGTATTACGTTAAAAACGTTGAACGTCAATTGAGCGACTGACAAGTAGTACGTTCTTCTTAGAGCGCGAGAGTCAGCGCGATGAATGCAAGCATGTAGGTGAGCCGGCCGGCAAGTGTTCAAATAGATGATGTCTATCTGTGTGTGCGACACTCGTACCTACAATATCGCGGACTTGGCATGATAATTCAAACGAAACGACTTCGATATTTTATTATCCGGCGTTTCACCACACATAATTGACAGCGTCGTTCAGAACAGGATATGTAAATGCGATATACCGCGAATGCAAAGTGGTAATCTTCCATCCATGGTAATCCATTTCTTCCTATTTTCAATTTTAATGTATCCAGACAGCACAAGCTCCTAAAAGACGTCTTAGACCCGTATTAATAGTCCTTACTTGAAACTTGCCTGAAGTGAGACGCTCAGATTTAAATTTAAAATCAGACGTATTTTTCAGTTAAATCGCAATTGCAAATGCAATGGTACATACGATTCGAATGAAAAACTCAATTCTAACTTTAAATTTAGATCTGAGTATCTCACGCGTGATTTAATGAATATTAATATCTCGAAAATATTTAAAAGACGTTCTACATCCTATTTTTCTCTCTTTTTTTTTTTAAGACGTCTTTAATAATATTTTCGACTGAGACGAATTTAAGTCTCGGAAATGATTTGACCTAATTTGTCATAAATTCAAAAATCTGTTTGAATCCAAATTAAATTCCAGTTACATAGCGGAAATGAATTCTTGAAACATTTGAAATTCTCTTTGTATATTTAGATTTATATAATTAGAGTAATTTAATCATTTAATATTTTTTAATTGATTATCATTGAACCACTTATAGCAGATTTAACTATGAACAGTTGGATATGCTTATTGCCGACAAATTATTCTGAATAGAATTCCTCTGAATCCAATAACTTTTTTAATAATTTCCCTAACGTTTTTAGATATAGTCTAATTCGCACACTCTTATCTTGATAATTCATGATTTGTATTTATATAATTAACAATTTTTGTATTAAATTTATACAACTTATCTCTGTCTCACAATTTTGAATATCAAAGGGTTTTATTCTCATAAATAAATAAATAAATATATATATATACACACATAAATATATATATATATACATATATATATATATATATATATATATATATATATATATATATATATATATATGTATGTATATATATGTATGTATATATGTACGAGATGTTAAAAAAAAGTTGAAGACTTAAAGAATAGCTAGTACTAATTATACTAAGCATAAAAAATATTGAGTAAACATAAATCGAAAAATCAATCCTTCAGCGTTACAAATGTTTTTCGATTTTGATAACAAAAATTGCTTGTATGCTTTCCTTCATCAAGTACGGTGAATGAACAAACGAGTATATTACGAGTGTATACTATATTATTATTTTATTATTACTTTGATATTTACAAAAGGTATTCTAAATATTTTCCATTCATTTCTACACACGCCTGATTACATTTTGTAATTTTTGTATTACAGAATTTTCCGTTTTGGATATTTCTTTTCGCATGAAAACGTCGTGCAGCTTGAGTATTTTTATTGGCAAGACCATATATGAAATGCATATCTGTCATTTCCCGATTAGAATAATAAGCAAACATAATTGGAAGGATTCTTGCTACCGCGTCACTTGAATACTGTGTGATAAGTACTGATCATAACAGCACTAGTCATAAGAGGACAGATGATTATACTGTACTGAAGCAAGATGATAACGTAGACGTTATTGCGTAGAAGTGGAAGTGTATCGAAAATCAGAAATTTTGGAAAGAAAACATATAAACATTTTTTGTAAACATAAAATACTAATATGATAAGATACTTGTTTATTCATACACACATGAATGGAAGCACACAAATAACTTGCATTATAAATGAAAAATATTTGTAACTCTGAAAGGATTGATTTTTCGATCTATGTTTACTAAACATTTTTTACTCAGTATAATGAGTGCTATCTATCCTGTAATCATTAAATCATTTTTTTTTAACACACTCCGTGCGCGCGTTAAATTTTTATTTTTATCTGATTTATCTTCTGATTATGATAAAGAAATAAATGCAAAGACAATATATGAACAGTATAAGGAAAAGCAGCTCGCGTAAGATTTCTTTTGGAAGTTTGTACTGTCTGGGTAGCAAGACATTGCTGCGTTAGTGATTTCGTTAAGATTTCGATTCCGGATTCCGATTATCGTCATCGAGTCCTATTACACCCTCTCTTTGGGCGTCAAATATCGCGTGTCTCGCGTTGCACGCTCGGTAATACGCAATATCATTGACATCCCGGAGAGATGTGCACGTGCTGCGCGCAACACGCATTTTCGCACACGTGGAGGACGTCGAGACACACATCGTTCATCGAGGGCTCAGCAGACTCTCGCGCACATGCACACACGGCGAATGTGGCGAGAACGAGGAGAGATATCCTCCGCTCCGCTCCGCGCGAGGGACCTATATAACTGTACCCGGCTCTGTCTGGGTCAGGGGGCGGGCCGCTACGTTTGTAGTATACTCCGTATATCGGACAGGTGTACCCTATTCCGACTCTTCGAGTTCTCGCGTGCACCTCCGAGAGAGTCACACAGCCGTGTGCCGTGTGCCGCCCCGCGCGTCTCTTTCCAGCTGTCGCGAGAGCGCGAGCGGGCATCGCGGAGTATCGCGTCACCACGAGGTGATCAGTCGAGCACGAGGAGCTTCCGAAGGCTCTCTAGATCCTGTGTTTCGGGCGAACACCTCACCAAATTCTCGCACCTCTCCTTTCTCTCTCTCTCTCTTTCTCTCTCTCTTTTTTTCCGGCTCTTTTTCTATCTGCCTCTCTTTTTCTATCTTTCTTTCTCTTTCTGTCTTTCTCTCTCGTGCGGATATCCTCCGCCAATACATTCGCTGATCCTTAACGTTCGCAGCGTCCGCGAGGTGGTCATCAGCGTGCGGAATCATACGGATGTGCGCCAGGACACCTTGACATCCGCCGACTGCGACAATTAGTGGTGGTGAGACTCGAGCGAATTCTCCTCGAGCGTCCGGTATCCGGTGAAATACCGAGTACTGGCGTCGACGAACATCCTTGCATCCGGACAGTCTTTTGGAAAAAGAAGTAAGATTTCGTTGATGTATCGACTGCTATCTGTCACCTTGTCTGTCAGTTGACTCTCTGCATGGGAAAAAAGCTCGGTTTGTGTAATTGAATTTCTTGAAACTTGAACTGAAACTCGATAAGAAACGAGCTTCTTTATCCTGCGACTGAAAATACTGGTCTGAACATTCGGTTGCATTAAAAACCGGTTGAGGCAATCGAGAATTGAGTAATGAAAATCCCTTTATAGGAATCTTCCTATTTCTATGATTTAACGATTTGGTTTTTCGAACTTCCTGAATTGTACATGTGAACAATAAGTTAAACAATATATGTACTTGTATTACTTTAACTGATTGCACTGGTTATACTCGTTACACATCTTTGAAAAAGAAAAGGACTCTAGTTTTCATTTGGACTACAAGGCATAAAAATTTAGTCATACGAATCGAATTTTTTCATGCGGAAACTCTAGTTTCCGTGTGAATTTATCGCCAAATGCTTTAAATCTCGAGACAATTGTAAATTTTTATTACTGAATAAATAAAATATAATAATAAATTGATAATATGCATGTGTTATATATGTAAGCTAAGCGCACAAAATTGATTGAAAAGCTTGATCATTTGAGGTTTTAATTAAAATGTTTTGGTATCGTTTTGAATGTCCTTATATCATCCTGGGACACTCTCGAAGTATACTTTCGATATATTTAAGATGGTATTAGAATATATGTTCTATTTTTATACCTAGTTCTATTTAGGATATTTTCCTAATTTGTGAGAAAATTTTATATATTTATAATATAATGCACTGTATATAATATATACAGATGTAGCTCGATTTCACAATTTCTCGTAAGGATGTAGAGAAGATTGAGATGAATAAAAAAGTCCAATACCGTTTTGTGAAAATCGCGATAATCATCGAGCTATTAATTGTGGAAGATTTATGAATGAGATCACGCATGATATGGTAGATGAACTGTAGTAGCGATGTCTGCTGTCGTGTGTTTATGTTTAGGTCAAACTGAGCTAAAAAGCTTAGGTGTGTACATTAGGTCAAACTGAGCTAAAAAGTCTTCTATCATTTTGCAAAAAACCACATAGATTTTAATTATTAATTAAAGAATTAATTTTTGCATGATTTTGTGTGATAATGCATCAATCTCCTCTAATTAATAACTAAAAATCTACGTGGTCATTTCCAAAATGATATAGAACTTTTTTGTTCAGTTTGACCTAATATACAAGTATACGTAGATATCACTACAGCTCATCTACCATATCGAGCGTCATTATTTATAAATATTTTTAATTAATATCTCGATAGTTATTATGAATATATTGCAAAACAGTATGACTTTTGTGTTCACCTTAATCGGCGCAGAGTGGACGAGAGGTTGTGGAATCAAATTGGGATATCCTATATATATATAATAGGAATTAAATCTTCCGCTAGTCGCGAGTCTTTATGGGACAAAAATTAAAATTTTATCGAAGTGTACCTGGAGAGTGTCCCAGAATGTTACAAGGACATTCAAAATGATGCCAAAACATTTTAATTAAAATCTCAAATGATCAAGCTTTTCAATCAACTAATTTTGTGCACTTAGCTTACATATATAACACATACATATTATCAATTTATTATTATATTTTATTTATTCAGTAATTAGAACATTTACAATTATCTCGAGATTCAAAGCATTTGGCGATAAATTCACACGGAAATTAAAGTTTCCGCATGAAAAAACTCGATTCGTATAACTGAGTTTTTATGCCTTGTGGTCCAAATGAAAACTAGAATCCTTTTCTTTTTCAAAAATGTGTAACGAGTATATATCAGTACAATCGGTTAGAGTAATACAAATACATATATTGTTTAACTTATTGCTCACGTGTACAATTATATATATATATATATATATATAAATTTCATAGATTAAATTAAAAGAAAACTGCAACACTTTTAAGATACCAGCCATGTATCATTCTTTACAATCTTAAGTAATTATTTTTTGTCGAAAGATTGGGAAAATATGATGCATATCACTATAATTCCCACTTTGTGTTGCATCAAACAAAGTCGTCCAGCAACTACTGGAAAGTTAAAAAAATATGCGATGAAAGCATGTTTAATTATTTTTACTGATTATGGAGATGAGAATTATTATGACTAGTGAACTTTGTAATTGACAGAGCGACTATTTTCGTAGCGCGCAGTGGTCCAGCTCTAATTTCTAATACAAAACAATTAAAAATATTTACCTACATTATATTTACTAACATATTTACTAACATTATATTTGATATTATCTATTTTGCTTTATAACTATCAAAATATAACGTTAAATATTAATAATTAGAACATACAATCATTATTTATTGATATTTCTTCTTTACATAAATATATTTTTGAGTTCAGCAAATATTTCTGTCTTTTCTAAATGCTTACATTTGTACCATTACGAAAATAATACCAAATGTTTCACTGAGGATGTATTCTTGTAAGAATCATGATAACTATGTAAACTGTCTATATTTAACATAAATAATCACCGAGAAATATTAAATATAATATGATTTCAATATCTGCAAATGTTTGCAATTTTTTATCAAGTTATAAAATTTCCAATGTTATGAAGTGTTATCTTAGGAAATTATCTAATTGTGATTTCCAATGTTACTTGAAGTGTTATCTTAGGAAATTATCTAATTGTGATTTCGCCATTTCAAAAAACTTATAAACAAATAATATTTTATGTACGTAGCAGTCAGTGACGGTTAATAAACGGTTGACTGTTAACGCATTAACTTAATGCTCGAGAATAAAAACAATGTTTTCTTATAGTGTATCACGTTATGAATTAATGTTATACTCAAAATTTTGTAATTTATAATATTTTGGAATGTTTTGCAATAATACAAAAACACCAAAACATTTAATAATAAATCTATAATTTAATACACAATAAAAACATTTTAAATAAAGAATTAAAAATTTAATTTTTTCGTGCCAAGAGGTGAATTTGGACCACTGCGCGGCGGCCGGAAACCGCTGCCGGGCCGAGTCACGTGCTTGTTTCGTCCAGCAGCTGAAGTTGACCGCGAAGCGCGCGCAAAACGTGGCGCAAATTCGATTCCCGAATACTCGCACGGCACTACGTGATGCGCGGTGGCAAACATCGTTACGACATAATTCGCGGCTATTAAACGCGCTTCTTGAGTCCGGCGGACGTAGGTGCGTTAATGACCGGCTGCGCCGCGCGCACCGCGACTGTAATCCAATTATAGCACTACGTCATCGATTAAGTTATTAGAGGCAGCTCGCACGTCATCGCGCGCGCTTCACTAACGCGTTAATACGCGGCCGTAGCGGCGCGGCGCGCGAGCTCATTGAGAGAAATTATACGGTCGCGCCGTAGGAGATGCGCCGCGATACGGTCGGCCACGTGGTGACCGTTTCCATTCTGCCGGGCGTACGCTACGACGCACAGTGGGGACAATAATTTATATTACTGTAAATACGCAGAGAATATTTTACAATAAAAATTAATATCAAATTTTGCAATTTAGTAACATATCGTTATTCTGTCTCAACTTATTATTTCCCCACGCCGTATGTGCTACTTATATCTTAAGAACTGAAATCTGCTATCACAATATTTACTAAAACTCTACTAAGAGAGTCCAATCTTGCCTTACTAGAAAGCATAGTTAAAAATTGAAAAAATTTGCATATGAAAAAGTAGGTATAATGTTCCTTCTCGAGTAAAATACTAGAAGTAACTGTGAATTCGATCACAAGCAGAACAATAGAAATTTACTGTTCAAAAATTGCTAGAGACCACAATTTTATAGCAATTGGGATGAATTTTTTTTCAATTAAACATTAATGAATGTAAAAAAAAACTGTTGAACGCGATTTTTTAAAAAAATTCTTCTAAATGTTGCAATATTAATAAGAATTTGTAAAAAAATTATCAAGTTTTGCGAGCCACTTTTCCAATTGGAATTCTTCCATTTTTTCGCTGCGCAGTACAGTACAGGTTTTGGATTTATGATTTTTTGGTTTTGAGTTTATTGGTTCGAGTTTATTGGTTTTTGTGGTTATATGAATTTTTTTATAGGTTTTGGGTTTCGGAGATACGAGTTTATGTGTCTTGGATTTCTTTTATGTTCAGGATAATTGATTTTATGGATTTTCGTTTATGGTTTACTGATTTACAAGTTGGAAAGTTATCCAAATAAAAGATGGAAAGTTTTCCAATTGGAAAAGTGGCTCTCAAAACTTGATAATTTTTTACAAATTTTTATTAATATTGCAACATTTAGAAGAATTAAAAAAAATCAGGCTCGACAGTTTTTTTCTACATTGTTTAACGTTTAATTAAAAAAAAATTCATCTCGATTGCTATAAAATTGTGGTCTCTAGCGATTTTTGAATAGTAAATTTCTATTTGTCCCCACTCTGCGACGGTACGATACGCAAATCCAAGCTCACCATTCTCCCCATTTCCTCCGTCTGTCCTCCTCTATCCTCCCTCTCTCCCTCTTCCCAGATCCGTGACGTCGGCGAAGGGCTTCAAAATTATCCCGATGATCCTTCGCCTCTTCTCGGTCGGTCGTTACCGTTACTGGCGCAAAACCCGTGTCAGACTAGATATCGGGAATTGAGGGTCGCTGGTTGGAGAAAAGTTTCATCGATTGGGAGAAAGCGTACTAGAATTGAAATTAGTTGATCTGTTGAATTCTAATTAATGGTCGCATATTGATCTGCGATTTGTACAACACAAATTGCCGGGAGCGTAAACGTGAGTGTAATTTTAAGCAAAAGAAACAATCTGGATGTTATTTGACAATCTGGATGTTGTTTTAGGTTTGAGTACTTTGGAGATGAAAATGGAAGGGGTGGGCAAATTTGAATTGGAACTTCGACCGGTTGGAATCCTAATTTTCTGCTTGTGGCCGAATTCACAGTCACTTCTAGTATCTTGCTCGAGAATACACGGAAGGAAT